ATAGATTTATAACAAAAAATATTTTTAATATATTCTTAATTTATATTCTGAAAACATAAATTAAACAATTTTTTTAAAAAAAATTAAAAATTAACTTTAAACCTTTTATTTGGACTTTTTACAAAATTTATATTATACAAAATGTTAATTAAAAATAAAAATTATATAAAGTAAAAAAATAATAATTCAAAATGTAAATAGAGAATTCATGGTAAACGCAGCGAAATCGCCACCACATTGCACATCAAGCCCCCACACAATCTGACTTTGGGTGTGACATGAGTATTTTGGATGGTTGAAATTGATATGGGTACTTATTGGTTAGAAATGGGTAAATGGGATAACACTCCTAAAATTCGAACATGGAACATGAAGGGAAACACCTCCTCAGGAGCAGGGGTATTGCTATAGCATGTTAGGTGGTCTCATTTATTTATTTATTTATATTTTATTTGGTAGATTAAATGATAAATTATTTAATAAAAAATATTTTTTATTTTATTTTATAATCTAAATTCAAAATTTTTAACACTAATATAAAATATAAAATTTTTAATTATTAGAATATCTTATGATATGTTTAATATAATAGTTAACATTCAACAGATAGAGTGTAATGAGTAATAGATAATAAATAGTAGTAGCATTATAATAGGTAGCAGTTAGTAGATATCGAGTGACAAATAGTGAAAAATGAATAGCAAATAGTGAATAATGAATGATAAACAATAGATTTGATTCATATAACTATTTAGTTATATAATAGTTAACAGTTATTGTTAAAAATTAAATGACTGATAATGATATATTTAAAAAGAATTGTATATATATATTTTTATATTTTTATTGTTAAAATTATTAATTTTATAAAGATAATAATAATAAATAAATAAATTATAATAATATAATCATATATTAATTTTTATTTTTAATTAAGAAAAAATTATATTAGTTTTAAATAAAATACAACAAAATTTTAATCTTTTTATCTAATTAGTAAATTTTGTTTATTAAGTTAATATATTTTTTTATGATAAATTAATATAACAATAAAAATGTAATAATTACTTAATATTACTAAATATAAAAAATAAAATTGAAATTAATTAGATAAGTACTAATTAAAAACCGTGATCGAAAATTAAACAATTTAAAAATAATTATTAATAAAATTAAAAAATTTCAATCTACTACCAGTTTGATATAAAAACTAATTTAAGTAGTTTTTTTCAATTTATTAATAATTTGGATTTTAATCACTATCTATTAGTCTTAAACTATTAAATAAAAAATTTATTAAATAATTAATTTATAAAAATTTCAAAATAAATAAATTTACTAAACAATTATTTTTAATTGTTTTAAATAAAACAACTACTCATTACTTCTAAACCATTATACCAAACCAGACGGGCTATAAAGGACATGATCATCTTTATTTAAGTTGTAGTTAGATTTACTAATAACTTAAATAATTCAGTACTTATTTTTTTCCATTAAAAATAAAAAATTTTGATTTTAAATCGCATGACATACGGTTAAAATATGAAAAATAATAAAAAATGATTGCCCTCTCGTTATATAACTAATTAGGTTCAACGAAGAAGAGTCGAATCTTACTAAATTTAATGGTAAAACAGTAAAAGCAGTAAATTGATATTACCAAGTAGTAAAATTATTATAATTTTCCTAGTGCAAATTGTTGCTAATTAAAAAAAAATTAATAAATTCAAAATTCTGCTGGAATTCGGCAAACATTTTTGCAAATTTAAGTTCTTAGCTTTTCAAATTTCTAAATTCAACA